GCTGGGGAAAAACAAATACACGCAAAGGGGATATCAACACAGGGAACAGGGCATGCAAAATCTAGAAGAGAAAGACAAAGCAGCAAATACAAACATTCTGACACAAAATTGTAGGGGCTAGCAGAGAGAGAGTTTAGAAAAGCAACCATGAAAACTCAGACATTCTAGTATCTCAATTAACCACAAAAAAGTAAATTAAAGATATCAGGACACTTAAGACAAAATGACAGGAACAGAATCTCGTATCTCATTAATCACCCTAAATATAAATGCACTTAATTCACCAAATTAGGAATGAAACTACTGGGTCATATGCGGTAAGTATATTTTTAATATTTCAAGAAGTCTCTGCACCAAGTTTTTCCACAAGGCCTGGGGTAGTCTACATTCCTATCCATAGTGTAAGTGGGTTCCTTGTTCTCCACATCCTCACCAAAGCTTGTTTCTGTTCTTTTTGATATGAGCCATCTCAGAGGTCTGAGATGGTATCTCATTGCAGCACAATTTACACAGCCAACCTACGGAAACAACGTAAGCACACAAAAACAGATGAGTGGATCAAGATGATCTGGCTTATATACACAACAGAAAATTACTCAGCAGTCATAAAAAGCAAATTACGCCATTTTCAGCAACATGGATGGAATGCAAGGGATAATGCTACGTAAAATAAGTTAGAGAGAAAGATAAATACAGATGGAGTCACTATTATGTGGATTAGAGAGAAACCAAAATAAGAATCAGAGAAAGACAAACTTATAAACTAACGCTCGAAAGCTGATGATAGAGCTGAAGGGAGGAGGGTGTGGAGGACAGGTAGGAACAAAGTGGGAAGGAAGCACAATAGACTATAGTGGTAGACTATGGGTGATTTGATGGTGGGAAGCCTATGGTAGCTATATCTGATGAGAGGATCCTAATGGTACCACAATTAAAAGAATAAATTAATTTAGAAAATGGGCAGTATATCCAATAAAACAATTTACCAAAGAGGAGATACTGAAGGCCAATGGCTATATGGGATAATGTTCATCAGCACTTTTAATAAAAGCAATAGATATATGGGATAATGTTCATCATCACTTTTAATAAAAGCAATGTGAATCAAAAGTGCAATGATATATCATCTCACACCTGTGAAATAGCATATATTAAAAAGATCTCCAATAACAAGTGCTGAAGTGGATGTAGAGTACGAGGAGTTCATTGTTGGTGGGAATAAAATGGCAGCCATTTGGAAAATGATTTGCAACTACCTTTAAAAAGATGTAGATAGGGTCCTCCCTGGTGGCGCAACTGGTTAAAGTGCAGCACTATGAACGTGGCCATAGCTTCTTCAGCACAAGTTCGATCTCCAGCCACAAAAGTGACCCGCATGGCACAGCAGACCTTTCCTGTCTCATTGTCTCACCAGCTGTTCTCTTCAGCAGTGTATTTCAGTCAGTCTACCTGTTTTTCTTCCCACTCTGTCTGTTGAATCCTCTCACCACCCCCTGCACCTCTGCCCTGTACCCCAGCTTTGTATGCATAAATAAATCAATCTTCAAAAAATCTATACATACATGATCCAATGATCCCACATTTGGGTATCTAGTCAAGGAATGTAAGACCTCATCAACTGAATAAATATATATCTTGCACAATATTTATTGCAGTATTATGTACAAGAGCTCGGATGTGGAAGCCACCTATGTGTCCATTAACATAGGATTGGATTAAAATTATGAGGTATAGCCATACAAAGGAATACTATTTTAACATAAGGAAATATAACACGCTGTAATTTACTGCAAAGTGGAAGGAGATCAAGGTAATTATGTGTAGTAAAGTCAGGGAGAGAAAGAAATGTTGGATGATTTCACATATATGAGTAAAATGAGGATCAAAGTGGATGAATTGACAAAGCAAAATAATTATAAGCTATTGGGCCCTGATCACCTACGTAAAGGTTCTGAAGTTAAGAGAACGGATGCAAAAGAAAGAGCATGGTGAGGCCTCCCTGGTGGTGAAGGTGGTTAAAGAACAGCTATATGAAGCTGTCTGCAGTCACTGCAGCACAAGTTTCAATCTCTGGCCCGGGAGCTGACCCACATGGCGCAGCAGAACTCTGCTCTTCCCTGCTGTTCCCCTCAGCAGTGTATTTTAAGTCAATTGCTTGTTCTATTCCTCACTCTTGTCTCGGGTGAATCCTCTCAATCCCCCACACATTTGGCCTACACCCCAGTTCTTCTATGCGTAAGTAAATATTTTTAAAAAGGAGCATAGTATGTGGATGGGGGAATCGAAATGTCATAAAAATGCATTGTTACATATTTTTGGCAGTAGACAAAGGACATAATAAGTAACAGTCAATTATAGGATTTCTTTCTCTAAAATTAAAATAGTGAAAGCTGATTTTCAATGCTTCATTTGGCTAATAAAAAATGAATAATCAGTCCTGCAGCTTCTTGCTTTACACTGACTGGGTCATGTTGTTCCGGGAACATACTCAGATCATCAGCATTCTTATTCAATGATCTTGAACACGAAGTGGAGATAATTGAATCTTAGCAAATGCAGTTAACCACTTACTTACACCTGAGTACTCATGTAATTATTTCTTTAATAGCAATTGCTAAACATTATTACATAACTAAATTTTTCTGTCGTAAAAGTATCATGATTATAAAAATTAAAATATTCATGTTAATTTTGGAATGCTGGAGTTCACATAAAGGAAAAGAAAGGACACTGAGGAAGTTAGTTACAAGGCAGGAAAGATTAGTGTTTGTAGATAACTACGACCAAAAAAAGTGGTAACTGACTCCATGGCGCTGATGACAGACATACTGTTGATTGAACACTCGGTGTGGTTTCCTGATATGGTTACTCATAAATGGAGTACATAGGTCTATTTTGATTACATAGGAATGTATCCAAGGTATTTAAATCACCAAACCAACATTTTTAATATCATTAAAAAAATACCTGTAGGCTTTTCTTTCATAATTATAATAATCAATCCATTCTTTTTCATTCCTGCAATTTTATAGAAAACAGAATGGTTTAAAATACCTCACTTACCCCTGGTTATCAAGGCCTATCTTGTATTATTAGGACCATTTTCCACATAAATACTGGTTTTGCTTTTGTTTGTTTCCTCACCAAAATACTTCTCTTGAGGGCATGGAAACTTGTCAGGATTTTTTCTTCCTGCTCCCCAATGTCGTTGAAGAAGAAATCAGGTCATAAAAGACACCATCTCAAACTCCTTGATTGAGAACTGAGTATGATAGATAAATAAACTATCATATATAAATTTATAAGGTGTTCATTTTACCACTTTCCTTCTGCTGAGAATATTCTTGCAACATCTATAAAGTCACCTCCTGTATTTTAAGAAAATTCTTTAAACTGTAACAGAATATATCTTTAAAACAAAAACTGCCCAACAAAAATAAAAAGAAAGGTATATCTAAATAAATAAATATATATATATTTAAATATTATTAGGTAGCATTTTAAAATTGACATTTTATCTGAAATTTTCTCTCAACAATTTAGTTTATTGCATTCTACAATTTTATTGTAAATATTCTCATACTAGAAAATCAGTTCAAGGATTCTCAAAAAATTTTGTGATGCAGTCAGTGAACAACTTAAATATCTCTGCAAAAGAATCAAATGAATTTATTAACCTCCAAATTCAGCAATTTTTAAAGTTGTTTTTCATGGTAAGATAATTTGAAAACCTCAATTATAAAATCTATAATTTGAAAAGTATAGATTTTATATTTATTTGAATGTGCACTTAGTTGAACCAAATGTAACCTTAAATCCCAACAGTGTTATATAGCATTACCTTAAGTAATGTATTTAGAACAAATCATAATGCATATTTTTATTTATTAGTCTGTATAACCATTCATTATTATATGTAAATAATGTCACAAAATCAGTTGCAATGTTGTTGTGTTGCTTTTTATATTATGTTTTCAGTTTATGGAAGCAAGGAACTGTCAGGCAGATATACTGGACAAATTTCTATCAAAAAGTAAATCTGACTTTTCCTCTATATTTATGTTAAGATATGCTATACCAAATGCCCAAATTTCCAGATGAATAGCTTCATGTTGAACTTTTGAATACTTCAAATCATATAAAAACAGCTCTTTTCCTATACCTCTTTAGCACTTTAATTACTTTGCTAAAATCATTGATTGTGTCGACAATATGTTGGGGAAGTAAAATCTTCTGATAATGAAAAATAAGAAAAGTAAAGATCTACTAAGATATATTGCAAGATATCGAGGAGGGAACATAATTTGCTTCTACTATAATAAAAAACTAAAGTCAAAATTAAATATTCTATGAACTATAATGGAGCTACTCTTTATTAACAGTTCTTAGTACTTTTTAATATCCCGACATAGCTGATGTGATCCGTTCCCTACTTTAAATTTTCACTGTCATAAGCAGCATTTTATTACCAACTTTATGCAAATATTTTCATAATTGCAAACTAGCTGTGAAATTAATACAACATGAATAAATCTCAACTGCCAAAATAATTTGTTTCATATTCTCACATAAAGGTAATATATTTATCAAGCACCAATATAACAAACAATTTACTAAAGGAATAAAGGTTTTATTTTTCAGAGTTGGTCTAACTCACAAAGTAAGAAAGATTTATATGTGATTTACCACACTCGCACAAAGAATCACTGCTATTCGAACAACCAAGACACAGATTACTTAGCAATTATGATAAACATTTCCTAAAACTGAGATGAAATTCCTAGTGGAATAAGAACAGAATAGGAAAAGTAAACTCACAACGCTAAAATATCTTTCCATAATAATCAAAACCCAAGTATTCTTACTGTTTTCTTGGAGAACTTGAATGAATGCACGCAAATTCAGTGATTACTGCAGACTCTATTTAGCACTAAATGAAAGTTTTATAGAATAAGCTAACCCTAAACTATAGCTTTCAGTTATGCAATCAAAACTCCTACCTCACTGTAGAATCTTCTGTATTGCCATCAACCATCATCTCCAAATCTTGTGAGTGTTTCTCACAAGGTTCCTTGAACAAATTTTTCTCTGGAACTGCTTTAGGAATATCTTCATTTGCTCGAAGATGTTCTATCAAGTTTTGTTGGTGCCAGTTCTGAAGGACTCTTTGTTGGGCAGGGGCTGGTCCTGGCACTGGTGCTAGTATGTTGTGGTGGACAGGACTGTTGCTTTTCTTCAGTCCATTTCTGTCCCGAGAGTGGTTCTTCAGCCTGCCCTGAACCGGGGTCCCTCTATGTTCATATCCTTCCTGCTGAAGGCAGCTTCCACTGTTGGGCGAACCTTGAGAAGGATGACTAAACCACCTCCAACGTAGCCTAAGGATTTGTTTCACATCAAACTCTTTCTTGCCAGACACTGACATCGTTGCAGGAGGAAAGACAAAAGCCTTCCCTCACAGAAAGGAAATGGAGCCTTTGTTATCTCTTGTTTCTCTGCCTCTTCTGTAGAGCTAACAAAAGCACAAGTGCAGAGAGCAGCCTTGCTCCCCCTCCCCCGCTGCCTGTGGTACATACACTGTGAATACTTCCAGCTTTCTAGATGAAGCAGAAAAGCTGCAGCTAACAGTGTAGGTGGGAACCCACACTGACAGGATGATGAGGTCAGACCTTAAACAAGTAAATCAGCTTAGCACAGGAAAGCAGCTACCACAACATGCTCCAGCTGCTAGATTTGCACATTTGCAGCCCTCCCGCCTGCATCTGCGAATATCTAACCCGTCTTACTCCTAACTAGGATTCAGAAACTGAGGCTTTAAACCCCCCAAACGAGAAAAAGCAGTGTTGAAACTCACTTGCTTCTAGATTCTGTCCACTCACCCTGCAAGATTCATTTCCTGGCAGCCTACTTATAGAAACATGCCAATTTGTCCTAGGAAAACTTGTAAAATGGGATTCATTAAGATTTATTTTGGATTTGCACTTATGGATATTTTGAAGGTGATTCAGTAAGATATTGTCTTTAGTCCCTCTTATGCAAGTTAATAGTTACTTTTACAAAACTGACAATATGGATGACTTTATAATTATACAAACATTTGCTTGAAAACTTAGTTTTAAAAACATAAAAAGTGGTGATTACCTGTTACTAAACACACACATCCCACAAGAAAATATAAAATCTGAATTTTAGGAGTACACCTAATGGAAAAGAGCAATGTTTTTCTACGATTTTTAGGTTAGAAAAGATGTCTTCTCTCAGTGACCAAAACTTGAAAACAAATAGCCCATTCTGGCTCCATGCCTGTGTAAACATCACCTTATCATGCTCTTTACTTTCACAGGCAGTGTTAAAGGTCTATTTTCTTTGTTCCAAAGTCCTTATAAGAGGATGCAAAATGACATGTTTTGAATTAACTACAAATTGTCACATAACTCAGTAATAACTGCACATAGGACTTTGTGATCAACTTGACTTTGCACAGAAGTAAATATTTCTGTAAGACACAGTTTTGTAGCAAAAATATACTGAGCAATTCCATTCTGAAATTCAGTATGAATTTTATCCCACTCACATATCATGCATACGGGTGATACAAAAATTGTGCTAGTGTATCCTTAAGAATGGATATTGAAATTATAAGTTTTGGGTGTAAGTTCTGATTGTATGGGTAATGAGCTATGTGAACTTGGACAGGTCACTATTTGCAGCACATTTTTTTTTTTGCATATAAACTATGGAGATTCTCAATGGATTTCTAAGTTTCTACAAGCACCAACAAGTAATCGATTTTTAAAACTTGGAAACAGAGAATAAAGTAAGGATCTTTTTCTAACTACTGTAGGTATCTTACCTGCAGTTTTCCATAAATCCAAATCTTCCTTCATCTTTACCTTATTTTTGTAGGTCTAATGGTAAATTTATGTGTCAACTTGAACAAGCTTTGGTCTTTGGTCAAACACTACTTATTTTATTATTATTTTTTTTTACTGCAGTATCATTGGTTTACAATACCACGCATAATTGAAGGGAACAGTGTCAGCTTGACGTTACAATACCTCGCCCACTCCTAAATAACTACAGCCCTCTACCATAGACCATAGGGCTCCCACAAGCTTTGTTCCCACTCCTATACCCCCTCTCTTGTAGCCGCGATTCTGCAGTCCTAATTCTAAGGTCACACATTATTTTGAATATTTCTGTCAGAGTAATTATGATGAATTTAATATTAAAATCATAGGCTAGATAATATAAATTGCCCTCACTAGTAAGGGTTGGCTTCTTCCAAAAAGTTGAAGATCTGAATAAACAGAAGGCTAACCTGAATAAAAGGGGATTCAGGGCCAGCCTGGTGGCTTAGGAACTAAATCTCAGCGCTGTCACCACTATGGCCCGAGTTCACAACCCCCAGCCAGAGAGCTGACCAGCATATGACACTACAGACCTCTCCTGACTCACCTGCTGTTCTCCTTAGCAGTGTACTTCATTAAATTTGTCAGACATTGAATTAAAGGCTGTTTAGCCCTGTGGAAGGTTGTCCTTGCTCTGGGAAGACTTATATTATCTGAATCTTGAATTGCTAGGCATAACATCTGCTTCTTCAGCCATTGTTTATTGTATATCTTATCACAAAATAGTGGCAAAACAAAATCAGTAATAAGCCATTAGTTAAATACAATATTTATTTTTCATCTCTTATATTCTTAGCATATTCTGTTCATTTATGCATTCATTTATTCCTCCATTCATCCATGCAACAAAGACTTATTGTGCCTACTATGTGCCAGACTTTGATGATGCAAATGTGGTTATTGGCCACAAAAACTTACCTTTAGTACTGATGACCATACCACTTTCTCCTTATTTTTAGGTCTCCCCTTGAATGTGCTTTGGTTTTCCTTAATCCTTAGTCTTCAGCTGATATCTACCTATGAACTGGTAACAGCTTTCTGTCTTATCCCACTGCTTTTACTAATTTACATTAACTATTCTGTCCTGCTTGAGTTGAGATCTTCAAGTGAACGGGTCCTAAGTCTTTCTTCTAAATTGAACTATTATCTATACATTAATTCTGGTTCTCTAGCAGTCTACAAAATCTTATTATATAAAGTCGTATTTATCTCCATGTTGTGTCTTATGAACTCTCAGGAATTTGTATACAGAGAAAAAATGTATAGGATTACCTTGAATTAAAATTTTATTCACGTTGAATTATGCAAATGGGGTTTTAGTGTTTTGAGGAATAAAAGCTTATAAAGGATTTTTTAAAATTATCTTGCCCCTAGGAGTGAAAACCTGTTATAAACATAAACATGCACACATATATTGCTTGGATAGATGGAAATTATTCATCCCTATTCCTTACTTCTCTTAGTCCTAAATAATTAAATACATGTTTTTTTGCTAAAAATATCAAATCATAAGTTTAATGTGACAATTATTTTGATCCACCCCCAAGACCACATGAAAAGCAAAACTGAAAACACAATTTAGACGCAGTGGTGCTCACAAACATGTTATGGAAGAAAGACTATCCAAGTTATCCAAAACTGATTGCCACCATGATTAAATTCATAAAATACTAATCGTGCACACTATAGTTAAATAATTAAACTAGGGTAATTTTCACTATTATAAATGAAAGCTGTTTCCACATTGTTTTGTGTGTGTATGTTTGAGCATGCATGTTTGCATATGTGGGCATACTGTGTGTTACATTCTACAAAGCCTTTTACTTTGTAAGTTGTTTTTGATCTTTTCAGAAGTCAACTTTCAAATGTCAGGTACTTCATATAAAGAAGAAACAACACATGATATGACTGAAGCAAGCAAATGAATTTGTGTTATCTATAATAGTTTGCATTAGCATGTTCAAAGGTGTAGATAAAATTTAAAATCTAAATTTTGCAAAGATTTTAACTATATGTTATGAACGGTTTAGGGAAAGAAAAAGAGCTACTGGGGAAACTTGAAAGAAAATTTAGAAAAAAACTGTATTGTTATTACAATACAAAACAAAACAAAAACTGACAATTATAAACCAGAGCATCCTACAGGGGAGGGGGCGGGAGGTTGGAAGGAGGGAGGGAGGAATGTGGGGGGCTCTGGTGATGATGTGCAGGTGAATTGGGGGAGGGAAGAAGTAAACATTGTCTTAAAATGAAAATCAATGTAAATAGCTATTATTAAATTTAATAAAAATAAAATAAAGACATTTCAAAATAACAACCACCTGCCAAGTTTCTGGGTATAGAAATACAAATTCTGCACTGCATTTTCATGGGGTGTGTGTATGGGTAAGTACACCTGAATGGGGCATCCTGCACTTCTAAAATTCAAACAATGATGTAAACCAACGTTAAATGTGTGTATACATATATGTACACACATATAATATGTCTTAAAAACATGCACTATGTGTGCTGCATGAAGGAAAATAGACGAATAAGACAAGTCTTTCAGAAAATATGGGCAGACCCTCCCTGGTGGCAAAGTGGGTTAAAATGCAGCACTGAGAAGCTGGGGGAGGCCACCTCCATGTGAGTTCGATCCCTGGCAGTCAGGGAGGTGATCCACGTGGCGCAGCACACCTCTCCTTTCTTGTCCACTGCTCCCCTCAGCAGTGTACTTCCTCAATCTGCCTGTTCTGCTCCCCACTCTGTCTCTGGTGAATCCTCTCACTGCCCCTGCGCCTATGGCCTGTACCCCTGTTATGCATACATACATAAATAAATCTTAAAAAAAGGAAAAGAAAATATAGGCAGGCCTTTAAAAAATCAAACTTTTGTGGTAAACTTGAGGTATATATTGATTTATAATGATGCACACCTGAAATTTATATAATGCTACCTCATGTTACTTCAATAAAAACTATTCTAAAAAACCAACAAAAATCAATAAAGTTGATAAAACTCTAACCAGGGTAACCAAAAAAAGAATATATAAGAAATTAAAAATGTTGATCATTTCTGATGACAAGGATACTAGAAAGACAACAAGTGAATATTATATACTGATGCATGTTCAAATGTTTGATTACTTAGATAAAAAGAACTAAACATACAAATAAGATACTAAAAAAATGTATGGGCAAATATCTGAAGTGATGTTTCCCAAAGTAGATCTAGAAATGATCTGCAAACACATGGGAAGGTACTCTATATTATTAGTCCTTAAGAAAATGCAAATCAAAACACAAATTAGACACTACTCACACCTGTAATGATAATAGTTAAAATGAAGTGTTGGCAAGTATGTGGAGAAATTAGAACATTCCTGGTGGGAATGTAAAACAGTGCAGCTGCTGTTGAAAATAGTTTAATGATTCATCCAAGAGTTTAACATAAATTTAGCATATGATGGAGCACTTTCATTTCTAGGTATCTATTCTAAAGAAATAAAAGAGGTAGTCAAGCAAAATATTTTACATGGATGTTCATGGCAGCTTTTTTTAATAGCAGCATTATTTTATTATGCAATAACAAAAGGTGGGGAAAATCATAATCATCAACTGGTTACTATATAAATAAAATATGGTATATCCAACATATGGATATTAATGCAGCCATGTAAAAGGGATCATACTACTGATACATGCTAC